GAGGTCGCAGTGAGATCACACCACTGCACTCTAGCGAGGGCAACAGAGCCAAACTCCATCTCAAAAAAAAAAATGCTTAAAGACATAAGTAAAGGGTACCATTCACTAAAATAACAAGAAACTAAGAAACAGAGATGGATGAAATGTAACTAGGTCTGAAAAAAAAAAGAAAAAGATACCTTTGCCAAAAAAACTGTAGTCATTGAAGTTACTAAACTTGATAGGATAAATTCTAGACTTTGCCCCTGTCAGAGAAGGCAAGAGAATTAGATGATGATGCCGAGGATGTTATTAGGCACAGCACTCACAGAAAACCTAATATAAAACGAGCAATTAGGAGAAATGGAGAATTGACAATAATAGTTGTCAATTACAATGTACCTTACTAGAATTTAGAGGTTTATTTAGGAGTGTATTTGAGGAGTTTCAGAAGAAGAGAATGGAGGAAATGGTAGAGAAGTAATATTCGAAGCTGTAATAGCTGAGAATCTTCCAGAATTGAAGAAGGATGTGAGTCTTTAAGGAAATGTGCTCCCCAGAGAAATTTCAAACATCTGGGAAGGAAAGAAAGGCCTGCATGGAGCAATTGATATTCTTTACAGCTCAGCTTTGAGGCCTCGTCTGATTAAAATGAGCCTGTTCTGGTTTTCACTGGAAAACACCAAAACAGAAATGTAATGTGTTGTATATACTAAACCATGCTTCTTGAAAAAGGGTACTTATAAGTAAATCATAAAAGGAGAGTCTTGTGAACAACTAAACCCACGGGATCAAGTTACCAAGGAAGATCTCTTCAGAAAAGGCAGTCTCCTTTCAGCACCTTTGTGAAAAATAGGTGGGAAGACAGTAATTTCTTGTTGTACTATCCTGAAATCCATGTCTATAAACTGTTTACAAGAGGAACACCAATCTGGTAGAAACATTTGAATAGGATTTTACATAAAAAGCGTTGCCAGTTAGAACATTTCGTTGAAGTTTTCTTTTAATGAAGAGGGAAAAATAGAAAGTAATTCCTATGGAATGAGACCTTGTGAACTTTGGATTCTGCTTCTAGAATCCAACTGAAACATCGAACTGATTGCCAGTTGTCAGAAATTAGATTTAATTAACGTGGACAGTTACATACATTGGTGCACACCCAGAAGACCTGTGTGCAGAATCTGGCTGAAAGTATTACTTTGATGAATCTCTTCTCATCACTGCTTTGTCAAAGCAGATTGCTGTGAAATAAACTATAGAAACAACTACCCTTGAAGACTGCTAGCAATAGGATCTCAATCAGTACAGATAGGAGATTCTATTTCTGTAGATGAAAAAGTTCATACATTGATTTTCTGCATGACTGTAAATGAATTCCTGGAAAGCTTAAGTGCTGGGTAGAATGAATAAAATGAAGGAAAACAAAGAAACAAGAGTAGATTGGGTTTTATTTCCGCTTCAGTGTGGAGAGCCAGCATTTTGAAAGTGAGCATTTTGGATGACATGCCGTCCCCTGTGGAATGTTCATTCCGGGTATGGAACACAGAAAATATTTAGGAGACCTGGTCGTGAGATTATCTTTCTTTCTCAGACTGGACAATGGGAAAACTTTTCTTGGCTACTCACTACTTACATTTCATGTCTTTTCTCACTGATAGAGAGATCCCACATTTGTGGATAGGAATTTCTCTCACCTGATGAAATATCATCTGTGAACCACAGAAATCTGTCATCTTATTTTGGTATTTATTACAACTAGAAGAAATATGTCAAGAGTTCTAATCAGTCACTGGGTATCAAATGTCAGAAGTGTCCTCAGTTGAAATGGTATTCTCAGTAAATCCTAAAGCATTTGGAACCTTTGCATATGCTAATACTGTTTATTTGGACATTAACCAAATATAACCAAAAGAAAGTAGAATAGCCATAGAAACCTTTAAATGGAATAAAATTTATATCAAATTCTGTTGAAAAATGTATAGCAATAAATTTTATTCCATTGTTATTAGGAACAAAAAGTACAGTACAAGAACATTCAAGATCTTCTGTCCATCTAGCTACACAGGTCCTGAAGTATACAAAGTGAATTATGATAGAATTAAAAGGAGAAACTAACAAGCTCATAATTGTATTTCAACACTCCTCTAACAAAAATTGCTACAAATAATCAAAAATTAGGATATAGACAACTTTAACAACAAAATCAGCACATGATGTTAGAGACTCTGTCTTTCCAATGGAAAAATACACATTATTTCAAGTACTCCATGAACATTTTTAAAATGTGACTATGAACTAGGTCACGAAAAGAAGTATTGCTAAATTTCAAAGGAACAGTATCATCCAGGTGTTCTCTAATTAAATGAAAAATGCAACAAGCAGATAAGTGAAAAATGTTAGGAAATATCAATGACGGTGGGTTAAGTTAAAAAAATATCACAGTAGGAATTACAAAACAGAAGGCACTGAATTGAATCAAGTGATGATTTGTATCAAAACTTTTAGTATATAATTAAAGTGGTACCAAGGAGGAAATGTATAACCCTACATCTATTCATTAAAAATAAAAATTAAAGACTTATTCAAACTGTAAAGCAAGAGGGAAAAAAAGAATAACAAGTAAAACATTATTATTATTATTATTATTTGAGACGGAGTTTTGCTGTTGTTACCCAGACTGGAGTGCAATGGCACCATCTCAGCTCGCTGCAACCTCCGCCTTCTAGGTTCAAGCAGTTCTCCTGCCTCAGCCTCCCGAGTAGCTGGGACTACAGGCGCACACCACCATGCCTAGCTAATTCTTTGTATGGATTATACATGGATTATAGTGCATGCATTGAGCCACTGCGCCAAAGTGCATGCAGTGAGCCACCGCGCCTGGCCTTTTTTTTTTTTTTTGAGACGGAGTCTTACTCTGTCGCCAGGCTGGAGTGCAGTGGTGCAATCTCTGCTCACTGCAACCTCCGCCCGGGTTCAAGTGGTTCTTTTGCCTCAGTCTCCCTAGTAGCTGGGACCACAGGCGCGTGCCACCACGCCCGGCTAAGTTTTGTATTTTTAGTAGAGACGGGGTTTCACCATGGCCAGGATGGTCTCGATCTCTTGACCTCATGATCCGCCCGCCTTGGCCTCCCAAAGTGCTGGGATTACAGGCATGAGCCACCGCACCCAGCCGTAAAACATTATTAATGGACATAAAATGAGACCAAAGAAAGGAACTTCACCACATTCTTGGATGTGAAGGCTCAATTATTAGAAACTTAGTTCTTCCCAGTGTAACCTATGAATTCAAATTTCAAAAAGGATTTTCCTGAAATCAGAAAAAGAGATACTAAAATCATGGAGAAGATCAAAGGGGTCAGACTAATCAAGACAATTTTGAGGAAGAACAAAGTAGGGCTGGGAAGGTCTATCAGATTTCAATTGGTTTACAGCTGGAGTGTGGGATATGCACAGGGATATACAGATAGACCCACAGACTAGAATAGAGAGCTCAGAAGCAGACCTGTGTATTTATGGGCAGTTGATGTTTTGCAGAGGCATCGTTAGAAATCAGTGGGAAATAGAGGGACTATATAGTGACAGAGGCTGGCTTCATAGTTGTATCCGTGGGGGAAAGTAAGATTAGATTGCATGTTCACAGCAAGCACAAAAATAGATTCTGGGTAAATTAAAGTCTTAAATGTGAAAATCAAAATTTTAAACTTTAAAATGTAGGTAAATGGGTAAAAGAAGCATGAAAAGCCAGTTAACATGGACGAAGTTTAACCTCACTAGTAATCAGGGATGTGCAAGTTAAAATGCTCCCATCAGATAAGCTAAAACTTAAATATCTGATAACACCAAGTATTTGAGGAGGAGGTGAGCCAAATGGAAAACCTCATTCACTACTGAAGAGAGAGAAAATCAGTAAAACCATCGATTTGTCACCCAGAGCAATGTGGTGACATGTAGCAATGTTGAAAATGTTGCTAAGATCCAACAATTCCACATCAAACTATATTCTGTAAAGAATTTCTTAAACAGGTATCCAAGGAGACAGGTATAAAAAAGAAGTTCACTGCATCATGTTTATAATAGTGAAAAATTGGAAACAACCTAAATGTACGTGGACAGGACAATGTTGTTGGCATATTCAAGCAACAGAATAATAATACCTTACAGCAGTAAAATAGCACACTATTATGTATCGACCTGGAGAAATTTCCAAAATGGTGTTGAAGGCAAAAGGCAACTCTTAGAATGGTATGTATATTCTTAAACATGAAGTTCTTAAATTTTAAATTTAAGAACACACAAAATAATGCTATTAGATTGAATCACATAAAATGGGTGTTTCTGTCGGGGAAAGAAAAAATACAGGCAAACATCAGCATCTTTTTTAAGCTCAACCTAGTATCTGTGGATACATTCATGGTAACACTGGGCATGAAATTCAGTGTGGCATTATCTCCTTGAGGGCAATGGGGAGGAGAGAATGGTACAGTGTTGATGCGGGCACATGAAAGAGCTTCTGCTTTGGCTGTTATACTCTATTTCTTCAAAAAACTTTTGAAGAAAACATGGCAAATGATAAACTTATCAAGGCGAGGTGGTGGGTACATGGGTATACTTACTCTATTCTTATAAATTTCTGTTGAAAATATTTGCTAATGTTTAAAGCAAACCAAAGTGTTGATAGAGGTGTAACATTTTTAACATCATGACATTTGAAGAAATATTTACAAAGTGATTAAATCCTTTGCTGCTTATTTATCTGAACATAGCACTCATGAGGCTTTTAGCATAACATAAAAAATTGAAAAGCATGGCTCCCTTCACACACCAGGTGAAAGCTTCAAATTTTGTTTTGTTCTTTTAGCACTGGTAAGATTGTCATCATTAAAACCATTCATTAGTGCCTCTCTTTTGCTTGCTGTTCTTTGGTGGCAGTCAGATGCATCTATCTACCGTGGTATATAAAATTTGGTGATGATATTCAAATTTCTTTTTTTTTTTCTTTTTTACTTCTTTGCTACCAACAGGAATCTGCAAGCAGAATATGACCGTCTAAAGCAGCAGCATGAACATAAAGGCCTGTCCCCACTGCCATCCCCTCCTGAAATGATGCCCACCTCTCCCCAGAGTCCCCGGGATGCTGAGCTCATTGCTGAGGCCAAGCTACTGCGTCAACACAAAGGCCGCCTGGAAGCCAGGATGCAAATCCTGGAAGACCACAATAAACAACTGGAGTCACAGTTACATAGGCTAAGGCAGCTGCTGGAGCAAGTGAGGAGAGAGATGGGATTTTTACAAACAGTCATTTTCCCCTCTTAAACAAAACTAAACTTCAAAGCACTTTTTATAGGTGCAACAAACATCAGTTCTTAAGTGCTTGGTATGTGCCTGGCAAAGTGATAGGTATCAAGGGATAGAAGTAGAGGACGCAGGAAAACTAATGTGTCTTTTTTGTGTTTGTTCTATATTGTTTCCTACCAAAGTGTTTTTTTCTTGACCAATTTGAAATACATCTTGGGAAAAAATGCCCAAAGGTTTCCACTAGTTCTCTAAAAGTAAATATTTTACTTCTTGAAATGGAATTCTTTCATTTACAATTAGTTATATTTTCTTGTATACCTCTGTGGGTTTTTTCTCTTAATCCCTAACACATAATTCTTTAAGCCTCCACCGAAAACCTAGCAAGATACTGCATCATAAAAGGACCTACTTGGACACAGTTCTGGCTTTCTGTAAATTTTAAATTTTGAGATATGTTCTATCTTGTTACTTAATACTCCACAAAGTTACGAATTTTCCATAACATTTTTGAGATCTCACAATCTTACTGTTCTCACATAACCTTCTAAATCTTCCAGTGTAGCTCTAATTTTTTCTCAAATTTATTAGGGATACTTCAGATACAAAGACAGTATCCAGGATTATATCAACAGTGAAATATCCCAAATTAAACCATCTTTGGGAGGGCTTCTAAAGTAGGAAGGGTCCAAATTTATGAGTCTTGAGTGTCTATAATATTTTGATATTTATACATTTGTGTGTTTATTATGAAAATTAATTGTTTTCTTTTGGATGCCTTAGCCCCAGGCAGAGGCCAAGGTGAATGGCACAACGGTGTCCTCTCCTTCTACCTCTCTACAGAGGTCCGACAGCAGTCAGCCTATGCTGCTCCGAGTGGTTGGCAGTCAAACTTCAGAATCCATGGGTAAGTGTCTTAACTACTCTCTGATTTTGGGATCTGAAGAAAGGTGGAGTCACATCATAGTGGCATGAATGTTTGACCGGAGGTGTTTGATTCATTTTGGTATCAGGGAACCACTGAAGATCATATACCAGATGAAAAAGATCTAAAAAGATGTATTCGGGCAGCTCTATCTGGCCCACAGAAAACTAGTAATATAGGTGAGAAGACCAGTTAGGAGGCAGTCGCCAAGGCCAAGATTTGTAAGTTCTGAGGGCCTGCACTTGAGAGACATGGAAGGAGAGGACTGTGAGACTGTTCTATAGAATTGCCAGCGTCTGGAAACGGACTGCAAATTGTTAGGAGAGGAATGAGGGGAGAGGATTTGGTTGGAAGAAGATGGTGAAACTTTTGATTGTGGACATAATGTGTTTGAGAAATTGATGGGTCTTCTAAGTCACGTCCAGAAAGAAATTAAGATACAGATCTATACCTGAGGTAAGAGGGCAGACTGCAGAGATTTGAGAATGAGTTTCATAGAATTGATTGCTGAAGGGTGTGAGATGAGAAATCTATAACACAGATGCTTTGATCCAGTGCCATGGGGAAGTAGGGTAAGGTTCAAGGAAGATGTGATGAAAAGGTGAAATGATAAAGAGAGCTCAATGGAAATTAAAATAAATCACAATCCATTGGGTCACTATTGGGTAATTTTGAGAAAGCATTTTCAGCCAAGCAAAGAAGGAAAGTTGGTAAACTTCTGTTGTTTCAATGTAATGAAAGACTAGGTAATCTTAAATGAATGAGGATTAATGAAAGTGAAAACACTTTTGAAACATTACCAAGAAAGACGACTTAGGCAAAAGTTGGATGAATTTGTTGAGGAATGGTCAGCACCTTTCTTAGAACTAGGTTTCAATAAATATGGAGCTGATGAGGTGTAAATGATCAAAGGTCAAAATGAGAGTAGGGCATTTTACAGTGGTAATGAATGGCTAGAACAGGGGTTGCTAGCCAGCTGCTCATTGTTTTTTTCCTGCTGTCTCTGGCTAGACAATAGAGGGTTTTATGAAGGCTACAAATACTTGGTCCACCTCCCTCATTTCTCTCATGGAGCCCAGTATGAGTCAGCTCCATCTTCTGTCCTTACTTTTCCCTGGGCCCTAAACTGGTTATACTTGACCCTCTCAATCTTAACCTCACAGAACAGAAAAGAACTGTGATTCAGTGATTCCTGACACTTACAGCTGTATTGCCTGATATGATGATGTGTTGAGGAATTCATTTCATACTTGAGATTTTCCATGAGGGTAGAATAAGACAAAGTGCCTAACCAAAATGGATAGGACAGAAAGGAAAAGTTAGGGGTGTGGGTGAGTTTTATGGTGAAAAATTTGGAGATCACAGTCAGGAAAATTCAAAAGTTGGATATCCTGGAAGTAAAATGCTTTCAAGCAATTTCTACATCTAAGATGGTACCTCCCAGTGAGCTGCTGGAGATTGTACTTGGAGATCACTGAGGGTCAAGGAGTGTAGTCCATGCAGTTGAGGAGACCAAGGTTGCTGAACTTATCAGCAGGGGCTGAGGTCCTTACCGTGATGACAGTGGTAGACCCGGATGGAAAAGATGCTGAGGAAGGTGAATGAGGGCTCTAAGGAGGCATTTCTGAGAAAAGAGACAGGGTGGTTGAAACAAATGTGATGAAGTTCAGCAACCTGGAGCAGTGGGAAGAAGCACATCCTCTTCTGGAGAAGTCAAACCTTGTAGGAAAGCCAGGTTTTGATTTCTTTGAGAAGGAAAAGGAAACGTTTGAGGTTGTTTTCCAGAATTTACTACACCTCATGATTTAAAGCAATGTCTGCATCACATTATCTCTGTCCACCCAAGATCTGAATATAGCTAATAATCTGTTGGAATTGTAAGTGAGAACACAGTGCATTAAAAACTATTGTATACCTTTGCAAAGTCTATAAATTCTGTAAACAACTGCACTTTACTACCTCTTTTTTTTTCTACTTCAGGATTTCCCCCCTTTTTAAAGTAAGTAAAGCATATGAAAGTAAGTCACATATTTTAGTGGTGAGATTCAGAGCCCTGGGTGCTTAGAAGCATTAATTATTTAGGCCGTTCACAATGGGGAATAGGCAGCATACCTGTTGAAGCACCCAACTTAAAGTATGCATTAGGATATGGGCCTGATGATTTGTGGAGCTAAAAAGATCATGGTAGTACTGAATACCAGGACAAAAGTACTATATTCCAGTGGCTGAGTTAAGCTAAGAGATAACTTGCTGATATTAAATGGATAAGCTGTTTTGTTAAATTTGTCCTCTGAATGAAAAGACTGAATTCAAAGGTACTTTTTCTTGAACTGTGTATTATTAGTCTGTTTTCACACTGCTATAAAGAACTACCTGAGACTGGGGATTTATGAAGAAAAGAGGTCTGTTGACTCACAGTTCCACATGGCTGGGGAGGCCTCAGGAAGTTTACAATCATGGGGGAAGGTGAAAGGGGGAAGCAAGGCATGTACTATGTCGCAGCAGGAGAGAAAAAGCAAGGGGAAAACTGCCACACTTGGAAACCATCAGATCTTGTGCAAACTCACTCACTATTACGAGAACAGCATGGGGGAAACCGCCCACCTCCATGATCCAATCACCTCCCACTGGATCCTTCCCACAGCACGTGGGGACTACAGTACAACATGAGATTTAGGTGAGGACACAGAACCAAACAATATCACACTGCATAAGCTAACTTCATTTAAAAAGGAAAAAAACCTTGCCATCTTCTTGAAGGATGCACACAGTTGTTTAAATAAATACAGTGTGGATCCTTGTGCTTTGAAGGCTTGACATATAAGGCCAGGATTTGCTGAACCACATTCTGAATACAGCTGCATTCTTTAAATATACAACCCCAATGATTTTCTTTTAAGTGAAACATGAGAGAAGTCATACTAGGTGATGTGTCTAAAGAGTCAACATATTTCCTTAAGCCATGAAATACTTATCACTGAGTCTCTATGTACAATTTGTGTTTTGTACATTTCTTACTGAGAATGTGTTAATGAAACTTATCTTCTATCAGAGGAAGCAAATACAGAACAAAATAAAAATTAGCAATGTTTATCCTCTGTTGGCTCTCATGGGCTCCATACACAAATCAGTGATGTCCTAACAACTCCTTATCGCTGATGACTCCTAACTTTCCAACAGATTGCTGTTTTTTGAAGCATTTTATTTATTTAAATATTAAACCATTTCTTTGCTTTTTAAAAAATAAATTTTATCATGTTCATTTGAGGTTTATGACATGATAGCTCCCTAGCTTTCTATTTAGAATAATTTCAAACTTATGGCAAAATTGCAATTAATTTAACAGTTTGCCACATTTGCTTTATATCTATTTATCTATGTACTTTTACATTTAGGTGTTGTTAAAGGGATTGCATATATTTAGATTAACATTTATGTATATCTGTATGTTAACATATCTTTATATATACTGTATGCATTTATATTTTATATGCATATTTATTCATATTTATGTGTGTATATAGGTTTTGTTTTTTATTTCACTTATCCACCCAGTGGCTGTTTTTCATACATAACCCTTCACCCCTAAACACCTGAACATGGGTCTCCTAAGATAAAAGATATTCTTACATAAGCACAATTATCACACCAAAAAAAATGAACAATACTGTTATCTAGTATAGAGTTTAAATTCAGTGCCTCCAATTCCGCCAATTAACATTCTTTTTTTTATACTTTAAGTTCTGGGGTACATGAGCAGAACGTGCAGGTTTGTTACATAGTTATCCACGTACCATGGTGGTTTGCTGCATCCATCACCCCATCATCTACATTAGGTATTTCTCCTAATGCTATCCCTCCCCAAGCCCCCCACCTCCCAACAGGCCCTGGTGTGTGATGTTCCACTCCCTGTGTCCATCCAGAAAGTGGGTGATCTTTGCATTTCCAACTGAGGTACCTGGTTCATCTCATTAAGACTGGTTGGACAGTGGGTGCAGCCCAAGGAGGGCAAGCTGCAGCAGGGGCATCACCTCATCTGGGAAATGCAAGGGGCCAGGGACCTCCCTCTCCTAGCCAAGGGAAGCCATTATGAACTGTTCCCTGCACTCTGGCCCAGACACTGTGCCTTTCCCATGGTCTTTACAACCTGCAGACCAGGAGATTCCCTCTGGTGCCCACAACACCAGGGCCCTGGGTTTCCAGCACAAAACTGAGCAGCCATTTGGAAGACACCAAACTAGCCACAGCAGGTTTTTTTTTCATACCACAGTGGCACTGGGAACACCATTGAGACAGAACCTTTTACTCCCATAGAAAAGAGTCTGAAGCCAGGGAGCCAAGTGTTCTGACTCGGTGGGTCCCACCCGCATGAAGACCAGCAAGCTAAGATCCACTGGCTTGAAGTTCTCATAGCCAGCACAGCAGTCTGAGCTTGACCTGGGATAGTCCACCTCAGTGGGGGTAGGGGTTTCCACAATTGCTGAGGCTCCAGTAGGCGACTTTAACAACACAGTGTAAACATAGCCTCGGGAAGTTTGAACTGGGTGGTGCCCGTGGCAGTTCAGCAAGGCCTCTGCAGGCAGACTGTGTCCCTAGTCTCCCTCTTCACTGGACAGGGCATCTCGGGAAAAAAGGCAGCAGCCCATCAGGGACTTACAAATAAAGCCCCCACTTTCCTGGGACAGAGCACCTGGGAAAAGAGGCAGTTGTGGGAACAACTTCAGCAGACTTAAACATCCCTGCCTGGCAGCTCTGAAGAGAACAGCAGACCTCCCAGCATAGCATTCAAGGTCTGATAAGGGACAGGCTGCCTCTTCAAGTGGCTCCCTGACCCCCATGTATCCTGACTGGGAGGTATCCCCCCAGTAGGGGCAGACAGACATCTCATACAGGAGAGCTCTCTGGCTGCCATTCAGCACGTACCCTCTGGGATGAAGCTACTAGGGGAAGGAACAGGCAGCAATCTTTGCTGTTCTGCAGCC